AAGAAATGGATAAGTTAGAAGGAAAATAGAAACAATTCTAATAGAATGGGCTCAACCTCCTGTACGTTTAGAGGCTGGACGTAAATCTACATCTGGAGGTGAATAATTGGATGATTTTTGAAAATTAATTATTTTTCTTCAACCTGGAACGAGAAACCAGTAGCAATTGGCGGATTGACTGGGTTTGTATGTTCATCTGTTAGGAATGGGGCGGTTTAGGGTTTCAAAGTGGACTTTTCGTCTCATCTTTCAATGCCTTGCATCCTAGTTTCTACGAAGAAATTTAACATAATTAGTTTCATCGCTATTTAAAACTTTCTCCAATAACTCAGTGCAATTTGCATATTTCTGCGAGAGTTGAAGGATCAATTTCTTCTTTTCAATGTGCTCTAATGTTACTTGTAGTTGGTTTAAATAGTTTGAGTTAACTGACGTATGGAATTTTGAAGAATCTTTTTCCTGAAAGTGTATCTACGTGCCTAACATTTTAGGTTTGAACTTGAATGTTATTTTCATGCTTAATAGTGTTTGTGATATATTTATATTTTATATCAATACATATGTAAACTATCTAGCTGTTTTTGTTAGAAATATATATTAAAACATAACTTTCATGTATAATATTGTCAAATGATTTGATATTGTCTCCATGTACTATGTTATTAATAATTTATATTAATTGAAGTAATAAATTAGCTATTTGTGCTAAATGAATGTATGCTGTTGTGTGCTCATGGTTTTATTTGAGAATTAGGAAATGATATTGATATATATATCATATTAAAGTCATTTTACTTGCATACATCTTTTTGTGTGAAAAAAATATTTTATTTAATTTTTGTTGTTCGCCAACACACACTCCTTTACTTTTTTTTTTTTTTTTTTTTTTTTTTTTTTTAAACTTTTTCAAATTGATTATAATCGATCAACTAATACATATTTTTCTTTTCTCCATAAACAATTTGATGAGACCATTACAAATTTTGTCTTTCATTTTGCATAAAATTGGAGTGTGAACAAAGTAATCTCAATGTCTCAATTTTTTACTGGTTCTTTTCGATATCCATATTTGGATTTGTCTAGCTTCACAAACTAAACATTCATTGTTTTATTTTTTTCAAGTTCCGTACAGGTAAAATTTGTGAGTTTTCAACGCTGCATTTAAAAAATAAGCCTACAAAACCATGCAGGAATTCTTACCAAATGAAGAGTAATTCCTGGACAAATAAAATGTAGCAACTTGTTTGAGAATAGGACTACCTTTCAATAATGACTAATTACATTGAAAATTTTCATCATGCACATTTCTACATGCCAAGAAAGAAATCAATGATGGAACTTTTTAATAGTGACTAATTACATTGAAAATCTTCATCATGCACATTTCTACAAGGCAAGAAAGAAATAAATGGTTCTAATATGTACTGATAAAGTTTTAACATTCAATAAATCCTTATTAAACTTGCTGACCATTTTCTTTAGATTTTGTATAACTTCTTCAACCAAAATGATTTTGTACTTTTCTTTTATTGATCGTATTTTGACATGTTAATTCTCCTACAAAACACACTTAATCATACATTTCTAAATAATCTCTATGCAAGTTTGCCATCGTTGAAGCAATAGACTTTGGCATAGTCTATGATGAGTATATTTTCAACGACTTTATCCGAGAAATGGTTCTAATCTGTGATGTAGTATTTAGACTCTTGTTATACATGATTCTTACAAAGGTTTGACAGGTCATCTAAATGATTCAGTAGTTTATTTTGATAAAAAATGCAACACTTAAAAAAACAACTTGGAAATCATGTTTAACTCCAAAAATGAAGCACACACTAAATGATTTTGCTTAGGTCTGTAGCTTGTACAAAAAAAAATGGCATTTCAAAAGAATTCTTAATCTACTTTCCTGAAATCAGTTTTGAATAAAGAAAGTCTTTTGAACGAAAGAATTCAATAAATAACTCGTTTTTTACATACAATAAATCTAGCATGTTGGGCGTAATTGGGATACATTTTAAATGCTTTATTTTCACCATGAATAATTGCATTAAAAAGTTTGGCAGTCTGTGTCATCAAAAAGAGGCATAGCATTAAAACTATGAAGTAGCTAGCGCTGAACGTGTGATTTTAAACATTGAAAGCCCATTATAGTAGCAGTGCCTAGCTAATTACTTGACAAAAAATAATAAGGGCATTTACATACATACCACTCAATTCTTATGTTTTTACTTAATATATACATGCGTAGCACTCAAATCTTTAATATCACTAAAAAAAAATCCACTCACTTACTTTTAAAAAGTTAATTACACCTTTTCATGCATAGGTTTATCACACCAAAATATCATAAATGTAAATATGAAAGTTTAGGTGTTAGATATGTAAATATATAAGAATTGTGAGGTATGTATGTAAATCTTCCCAATAATCTTCCAAATAATATATGTGAAGCACATAACTATTTAGGCGTGGTTTTCGCTATTAAATTGCATGATAGGAGCAGTACCTAGCTAGGTATTTTACTAAAAATACTTTATGTGATGTATTTAGCTGTGAACTTATGGTTTTAAACATTAATACTTCATTATTGTTGCAGTCCCTAACTATGTACTTCACAAAAAGGCATAAGTTGGCCCTTGAGAGCAGAAAAGTATTTATTGGTTGACCAATCATAATCAATAGGAGGGCTACAGAGGTGGGAGAGTTAAAATTGGTGAATGTGAAGTTTCTTGTTGCGACTTAGTATGAGCATGATTAGAAATGAAACCATTATTGTACAAAAGAAATGTATATTTCATTAAGTAAAATTATCAAAATATGTAACCAAGTAAATAATGAATTTTATATGAATTTAGTTAATATACTTCACATATGTTTTTTTTTTAGGGAGAGTATCTAGCTACATAGTTCGCATATATTACTTTTTATGTGAAGTATCTAACTAGGTACTGTTGATGTAATAGAATTTTAATTCTTAAAATTATAAATAAATATTTTTTATGAAGTACTTAGCTTTGTATTTCACATATTTTCCTTTTTTTTTTAGTATCTAACTAGGTATTGTTGCTATAATTGAATTTTAATGATTAAAATCACAAATATATTTTGAGGGAAGTACTTAAATAGATGTTGCTAATATATTATGATTTGTGAAATACCCAGCTAGTTACTACTACTGTAATGGATTTTCATTGGTTAAAAACGAGAAGCAAACAACTTTTTTGTGATGTGCCTAGCTAGGTACTTCGCATATGTTGCTTTTTTTGTCAAGTACCAAACTAGGAAATAATGTTATAATGAATTTCAATGGTTATGATCACAAGCAAATATCTTTTTTTATAAATCATTCAGTTTGAAACTTTACGTATTTTATTATTTTTTTACGTAAGACTTAGTTATGTACTGCTACTGTAATGGAATTTTAATTGTTGAAATTACGAGCAAACATTTTTGTTTTTTGGTGAAGTACCTAGCTGAATACTTCACATGTATTGTTTTTACGTGCAATGTGTAGTTATCACTGCTATAATGGATTTTAATAGCTAAAACACACACACGCGCGACATATATATATACATAACTATGTGTGCGGGCGAGAGCGTATGTGTGTATGTGCCTAGCTATTACACAGTTCTCTGTGTTGTGGTTTTGTGTTTTTGTTCCATCCATAAAGCCTTAGTTCTATGCAAAGTATATACAGGTGTAAGTTTACAAGTAAATTTGGTAGTCTAAAATTACCTAGCAATTTGATCTAAAGAATTTTGTAATTACTCAAATAAACCATGAGTACATGATGATATATACATTCATAAAAAATTACCTAGCAATTTAATCTAAAGAATTTTGTAATTACTTAAATAAACCATGAGTACATGATGATATATACATTCATTTATCATAAATAGATAATATTTATTTCAAATAATATAAATTATTCCACAATCTAGTACATGATGATAATGATAATTCATTTCACAATAATGTGCATGAAAGCTATGTTTTATTATGTATTTCTTATTAAAGCAAGTATGTAGTTAACTTATGCATTTCTTAACAAATGTTAAGAGCATAGATATTCTTTCAAGAATGAGATCTGTCTTATATAATCTATTGAATCAGATACCTTTTTTTTTTTTTCCGGGGTATCCTTCCATAGATTTTCTTACTTGCATAAATATGTATCTTTTAAAGAATATGATTCATGTCGATGATAAAACTGCTCGGTGTTTCTTTTCTGACAGCCTTATCTCTGTAAATACATACAACACAATTCTTATATATTTACATATCTAACACCCAAGCTTTCATATTTATACATTACATCAATTATATATGCATAACACTCAAATCTTTAACATTACATCAAAAATATTAATTTTAAAAGTGAAATATACCTTTTCATGCTTTGGTTTATAACACCAAGCTGTAATAAACATAAATATTAAACTTAAGTGTTAAATATGTAAATACATAAGAATTATATGGTATATCTATATTTCCCTAAATAACAAATATCAAAACCTACAGGACTCAGCTGATTAAAAGTTCCTGATAGCGCATAATTTCTCTTTCCTCAATGCAGTATTGTGATGGTTTTTCCATTTTTCTTTGATTTTCGTTTCTAAAACAATCTGTTTGATAGTTTTTATAATTGAAGTGTAGATCTGTTGGGCATGAAAAGTTTATTCTGCTGGCTTCTTATGTTTTTCCTGCATGGATCCTTATGCCATCTTGTTTGGTATATAAACAATAGCACTCCTATTTTATTTTTTAGGAAGATACATAACACCACCCAATTCCTATGTATTTATAAATCCAACACCAAAACTCCAATTTTTAAATATATGTCAACTTACTTATGCATGAATAGGTTATTTTTACTTTTAAAATTTTAAACAGTAGTATACTTGATCTCATGGCAACTAATTTCACTTGTTACAGAAATGTTTGCAGCCATTATTTTTGTGTGGAAAACTAAGCTTGTTCTTCCTCAGGTGACTTCTCCTTATGGAAACTCGCTTCATCATCAGCAGAAGACCACAAGTGGCCAGTTTGCATTCACAACATCCGAAGCTGGCAACTACCTCGCATGTTTTTGGATTGACAGCAGCGATAAAGGCGTGGGTGCTAATGTTATCCTCGATTGGAAGATCGGTATTGCAGCAAAGGATTGGGATTCCGTCGCTAAGATAGAGAAGATCGAGGTGAGCTCTATCTCACCACAAAGAGTTTGGTAAACCATTCTTTCTTTCTTAATTGAGCCTTATGGATCTGCCAAACATTTAGGGGGTTGAGCTTGAGCTCAGGAAACTGGAAGCGCAGGTTCAGGCAATCCATCAGAATTTACTCTACCTCAAGTCCAGGTAATCTTCTTATAGCTCTTTGGCTTACAGGAAACATTGTGTGAAAGAATGTAGTCGGGCTCTTAAACATTGAGACTTTTTTTGATATAACGGTTGGATTTTTATTAGAAACTCCAAAGTTGAGTGTGCTCGTCCGACAGCACACTCGTGGGAAATTATATCAATGGGATGAAACCGTGAGATCATTAGGACATAGCGGATAATATCTAGATGGATAAGAGTTCGGGCTGTTACACATTGTCTGCTGATTATTGAAGGATTACCTTTTTGTTGTGGTGAACTCAGGGAGGCGGATATGAGGGAAGTGAGCGAGACGACAAACTCGAGAGTTGCATGGTTCAGCATCATGTCGCTTGGTGTCTGTATTGTGGTATCTGTCTTGCAGTTGTGGCATCTCAAGAGGTTCTTCCAGAAGAAGAAGCTGATTTAGACTTGACCTTAAAGCATGTAGGATGAGCAAAAGTTACGAAAAAAAATGGTTTTTCCTTTTTTTTTTGTTCGGAGGAATTATTCAGATTTTACTCTACTTTTTCAAGCAATTTTTTTAGTTTTTTTTTTTTTTATTATTGGTTCTGGATTGAGGATGCTGAACATTTTGTTGTAGAGCATTTTGTAACTATTATTCTAGTTCATTCTGGCATGTTAAATATTACGTCCGGAGTCCTATAAAATCACACCACGTGAAGGTGACAAAAATATAAAAAAAAATTCGTTTTAGCATAAGAGAATATTTTTCCTATATTATTTTGCGTTATTCATTGTTATTGTGGTGTTATTCATGTATTATTGTGTTCTGAAAACATCTCTAGTGTTATAATAATACATTAAGACATCAATATCACCACAATAACACATGAATAATACGAAATAACACAGGATGAATATTTTCGTGTTATCGGGTTAGATCACAAGAAAACGAGTTTTTTTTTTTCTGTCAGCTCCACGTGGAGATGATTCATTGAACTTCGGATGTATCTCTACGTGATAATTTTTCTTGTTACTCCTCAGCTTGTATTGTTTTAGAGGGAGAAGTGCTTGAAGAATTGTAAATATGGTTGCTCGGAAAAAAAAAAAAAATCTTTTGTGTTTGCTGCTTCTTCGTGATGTATAATTGCTCGGGCTCGTTTGCTCCAAATGATATATAAACATTTGAGCAATATCTTTTTTTATTTATTATTTATTATTAAAAATATAATTGATGCAATTAATTTCATGTTTGTGTATGTATGTACTATACTTTTAAAAAATTAATAGCAATGATTTTTTATGTAATGCTAAATATTTGAAAGTTATATATACAAATTTTAAGGTTAAGTATTACATTAATAAGTAAATAAATGTCATATTATACACCAAAAATAACAAGAAGTTTTTATCCTATTAAGTGTGGTTGGTTACGTGAATCTTTTTTGTGGTATTTGGTGTCATATTTTTATTTAATTTTAATGAGTTAAGATCATTTTTTATTCAATATGCCCAAGCCTTTCTAGGTTTATCTCTATCTTTCTTAATAAGTTGAATATAAAACATCTCTTCTAAGGGGGGCATCAAATGGTTGATATTTAATGTCATCAAATCATTCAAGGCGACTCTAATCTTGTTTGCCAGTGGAGCTACTCCAACCCTTTTATGGGTATACTCATTTTGCATTTTATCTACACGTATAAAGTCACCCATCCAAGTGAGCAATCTCATCACAAAGACACCTAACTTAATTTATGCTTCTCTTTTACAGGCTAACATTCTGCACTATAAAACATAGCAAAGTCTCACCACCATCTTATAAAATTTTCCTTTAAATAGTATTGTTCTATCGCATAATAAACCTAATGAATTTCTCCACTTCAATCATCCCAATTCAAATAAACTAATAACATCCCCATCTATATCACCATTGTTTGAACAATAGACCTGACCCCTGAGATATCTAATACCACTCCCTTTAATGATTTCATCACTCTCCACCACTAGGTCTACTACTAATAGAATTAAATTTTATATAGTCAATATTAATTCTACTTAGATGAAAGTCTTTAGACTTCAACACTAACCTCCATAATTCAAGTTTTTCATGAACTCTCTCTACTTTCATTCACAAGAAGGATATCATTAATGAAAAACATACAACAAGACACACCATCCTATAAATATCTGGAAAATTATACTAAGAATTTTATTATTTTTAAAAAAATATAGGGAAGAACAGAAGTTAACCTCTCAAGTCTCTACATTACAAAATCCCTAAATGATATTCTTAGATTGGTAAGCATGATGGTATACTCATAATCATTTAACATACTATGTAAATCGGGGATTAGTAAATTGAATCCTAAATGCTTGAAAGAAAAGAAAAATATTTGTTTGATTTTAAATTATGCTAATGCTTGAATCATCATGAAAAAGAGACATTCACACGATTCTTGTACCATTTAGTGGGCACAAACATATTTTGTGTCCAACCTTTCTTTGAGAACACTTGACTTGAATACATTTGAATGATTTTCACTTATTTAGAATGGAAGGAATTATTTTGGGGGCATTCACATACATAGCACCAAAATCACATGTATTTACGTACTGACAGCTAAATTTTATACCACCCCAATCTTTTATATCACTATTTAACTTTTAAGAAGTCAAACACATTTTCATGTATAAGTGATATACATGTAAAAATTAAAGCTTTAGTGTTAGATCAGTCATATTTATATAAATAATCCTTGTATTTAAAATGCGTTATATAATCTGACTAAAACAAATTATTGTAAATAATTGGAAACTATTTTAACACTACTTTTATAGTCTTATAAGAGTTAATAAGAAAAGAGCAGAGAAAATTAGATAAATTAAACAACAAAATAGATTAGATAATGAGTTTAATCAAATGCAAGAATACAAACTTTAAAAAAATTCTAGAATGATGGCCTATGAAAATGAAGAAAAGAGTAACATGCTGAATGGCATTGAACAAATATGCTGAATTTGAAAAGCATACTAGTTAACCAGTCAGATGATTTCATGAATCGCTTGATTATTTTATTTAAAAAAAGAAGCAAATTTTATTCAATGTGAACAATATCGTTATTCAAATACTTGAATCTGCAAATCTCTTCAAAGAAATCATCAGCGGTTTCATGACAGTTCTTCATCTGTGAAATTCTGATAACCATCTTCCTCAACTTCACGCTGAAATCAACCAATGATTCAAGAGTGTTGAGCTTCTGCTCCGCGTTTAATGGTGATCTCACTGTCACCAAAACCTCTTCCAAATTAGGAATCACAAAACTTGAATCCAGCTGCAATCCAAAAACAAGAACAAAAACAACAAACAATTTTTTATCATTTATAATCTATATAAATTATTTTTGCAACATAAAAATCCTATCTTGTTCATTCTACTTGCCTTCCTGAGACTGTTCTTTTGACATAAAGCAGCGAACATAGCACCATGAATTTCTAAAGTTATCAGCTTTGGATGATTATTAAAGAACTCCACCAAATCAATCTCCGGAAATGGCTGCAGAGTTTCGAAGTCCCCACAAAATTCGATCTTCATAACTAAATGTTTCACATCACTTGCACACTGAAGAACCGAGCTTATTGCATTCCAGCTCCATTGGACTCCTCTGAGAGACAAATGTTCCAAGTCCACAAGCTTTCCTGTATCAACTCCATACAGCCGACCTGAAATAACATAAAGTAAACATATTACAGATATTGTTCAGTAAATAAATTCGAAGTAGGGTTATCCTCATAGGGAGAAATTTTAACTAGGGATATACCCCTCCTCAAAAATTTAGTACCGACTGTTAAAAAAAAATCCTCAGAATCTGCAGAGTTATTAATTTTCTGAATGATTTCTTGTTAGTATGCAAAAAACATAACCAAATTATTAGAAATGATTAATTTTATGAGACAACAAATATTCACAAAGAATATTAAGAAATAAATATTTAGTCCCCTGAAAAAGCGCATCTTTGGGATTTTGAGGATTTCAAAGCGAAGGTTTTTTTTTTTCTAATACAACAGTTAGAAATCAATAATGAACATAAACATTGAAGAACTATTTGTAAATAATTCGATAAATCGTATAAGTCCAGATTGGCTGAATCCAGCCAATTCCTTAGCAATCCTGGGATTTAAAACAAAGATGAAAGATAATGAAAAAATAAAGCTATATTTACTAGGTTCAGGATTTAAAAATTGTCATTTTTTTTTTCTTATGACGAATTAAATTTAGTTAAATTCAACTTAAATCAGTAATGAGACAGCCTCTCGACATATTCATCCATAAAATAAACCAGAAGCTAACCTGTATTCTTAGAAATGCAGAGACTCCTTAATTTATGTTTTTTGTTAACACGGACCCAACTAAAACCTTGGATTTCAAGCACTTGAAGCCTCATCGAGTTCACAGACAGTGAACAATTCCCTGGACCTAAGAAATCCAGCCTACATCTCTCCAACCACTCCAATTCAATGGAAACTGTTGTAACTCCATCGCAAGCAAGCAAAGCCAAATCAGTCAGATTAGGACAAGCCTTAATAGCATCCTTCAATGCATCATCACAAAGTGCTGCTCCAATGATCTCCAATGTCTTGAGCCTCTTAAAAACACCCCAACTTGGAGACTTGGTTAAGGATACACCCCAGAGCTTGAGAGTTTCCAAGTTATGCGCTGCACCAATGCAATCCACTCGACCTCCGCTTCCCTCTGCTCTGCCCCCAAAGAACTTATCCACTGCGCTGTCCATTCGAAGCTCGAGGATTCGAAGAGAACTGTTGTGGAGGGAGATCCATGAGGCAAGGCTTGGTGCAGAAAAGGGGCAGTAAACAACTAGCTCCTCCAAGTGGACGACAATGGAGATTATTCGGGAGATTGTGGAATCTGCATCAGAAACGGAATGAAAGGCATTGCGTGGGAAGTAGAGTGATGGACTGTAAGGAACGCAGTCCTTCCACCTCTTGGAGACACAGCTGCAGGCAGCAACATCTCGAGCGTTGCTTATGTGCGATAGTATTTGTTGGATAATGGCATCGGGTAACATATCCATCATTGTTGCAGACTGTAGATTGGAACAAAATGTGTTAGTTTGTTTTGGGATTATCAGAGGGCGATTAAAGAGAGTTTAACATAAAATGATTCTGAATCATTGAAGCCGATAGAACATTCAAAGAAAAAAATTTATTCTGGGCGCAGCACATAATCACAGCACACAAAAATAATGCTGTCTCTTGTTATAAAATCTGTAGGATTTAGTATAGCTTTAGAAGCGGACATGGTGGTAGCTTTCGAAATAATTGGTTGACTGAAATTATATGAGAGAAAAGATGATAGAGTTTCTAGTGATGAAAAACCCATGGCATTTGCCACTTTGCAGTTCAGGAGAACTAATTGTGTTTCTATTTAACTTGAAGAGCGATGGACTCTGTTGTTTGAGTACATAACAAGAATATCAGAAACTAAAAGTTTGATTTCTAAAAATACATGAAAGCAAGAAACAAAAAGAGCCAAAAGCAGTGCACTAATGCCACCAAATTAATTATAATATAAATCAATTGACATTAACCTTCCTTTAAAAAAAACTCGAGTTTTCAATCATTCCCTTTGATTTTAGTTGAAGGCTATTCAGTTGGTAAGTACGTTTGGAATTTTGAATATTCTTGGCCGTAATAAAACACCAAACAAATTCCCAATCTTTAAAGAACACGAAGTAGAAGTAATATGCGTCAAGCTTGGATTCTTAAATAAATAATCTCGCTTTCCTTAAGATCTACAACTTCTACACCGCCGGCAGTGAAAACTTACAAAGTTCTGCTAATTTCAACAAGAGAATCACGCGAAAAAAACAAAAAAGCTCTGAAGAAATGGTTACAAGGCACGAGTTTAGAAGATCAGAAGCCGAGACAAGCCCCTCACAAATCCTCCTCCTAAGCCCCCTCACCTCCTTCCCTCTACCCGCAACCTTCAGGAACCGATCCTATAAAGAATAGTGGGGCAGTTTAAATAGATAACCAATCCAACGAAAAACTTCATGGGCGGCATAAAAGAACTCGGTAGAACGACGAAAGATCTGAATTTTAAATGAACCCTAGAGGTTGGGTCCCATATTTTTTTTCAGCGGAAAGAAGAGGAGGGAGAAGATGGGGAGATGGCCCGCCTATTTTCAGAATTTGAAATTTTTACCGTTGCCGGGCATCAAATAATCGTGGGTGTTTTGGACTTCTTGGATGTGGCGCAACGAATTTGAAGTTTGAATTTTTAAAAGAGGAATCTTTAAATTTTAGAGTGGGGGTTAAGTTCATGAATCATGCATGCCTTCCACGAATTGGGGAATTGAATTTTTTTTTTTCCTTTGATCATTTATTAACTTAATGGTGTGATGATTGAAATTTTATATTCATGCACTCAAAAACATTATATTAATGTGATGATAATTTGGGGGGATTAAAGCTTTAATTTGTTAATAAGAGCAAAACATGGTGCAATTTATGGATATATTTTTTTCTTATAATTATTTTGGGTATAATGTAGTAGAAAATATGTTTTTAATGCTTACTATATTGTTTATTTTGATTAAAAATTTTGTTTAGATAGTGTTATACAAATTGTATTAGAAATATTTTTTTTTAATTTTTTATATTTGTTTGAATTTAATAATTTGTGTGTTTATCGGTACGAAAATTATATTAGAATATTCTAAGAAGATTTATTTATTTTTTATGAAATTAAAAAATTGATTGTTTAATATGATATTATTTGTATAGTCTATTAAAATGCATAATATCTTCTACAAATAGCAAATTTAATTGATAACAAATTTATCATTTTTAGGAGAAGTTTAATAATTAAAATCACATCTTATAGTTTTACATAATTACTAATAAGATTTAATTTCATTATTAATTAAGGCTTTTTAATAATTAGTGAACAAAAACTTTTAACTTACATAATTTAATTTAATTATTTGTGTACTATGGTATTTATTAAAGTGTTTTATTTTGAAAGTAAATCTTCAATTGCATGTGATTTTAATTAAGGAAAAAGTACACATTATTTTTTTTTTCTTGTTAAATATTTTTTAAATGATTTAAATTTTAAACTATATTAAAAATCAAAGAAAGTAATGTACCATTCATATTAGTTATCTATACCAATTAGACAATTGATACTACAAAAATTAAAAGATTAATAATAAATATATTGTATTAAACATTACATGGATTCAACATATATAATTTGACCTTCTTTTCAAAGTGTTATGTTTAAATAATAAATTGGAGGAATAAAAATTAATAATTGATACTTTTAGATAAAAATTAAAGATTTAATAAGAAAATTACATGGTGTATTAATATGGATATAATTTTTTTTTATAATTAAGAAAATAACTCAACATAAATTTTTATGTTCAATAAGTTATTTTTTTTTAATAGAAATTATGTCTTGATATTGTCTTATAAACTATATGAGAAATAAGCTTGAAACTCATTTGAAACTCATTTGGTTTATGATAAGATTAGTGCAAACATTATAACTTTTAGCAATATGATATAATTTATATTTAAATAACTTGAAATAATTTTCTTAATGATAAATTTGATTATTTAATATTATATTTTTATATAATGATGAATTATAATTATTAATATTTCTTTGTTTTTATTGGTTATTTATATCAATGTAAAATACACACCGTAATAGTTAAAAGAACAATGATAAATAAATTACTTTAGATAGATTTTATAGATATATCGAGTGATTACAGCTCTTTTTGTCCAAAATTATAATGATATTCAACATTATAGCATAATTTACCATAACAATTTTATAAATTATTTTGTGATTTTATAAATTATTACGTGATTTTAATAACAATGCTAAGTCAGTGCTACAAATGAGTATAAAGCATTGTGATTGTCAAGCTCCCAAGTGAAAAAAATAGAAAATGTTCAGAGATTGTAATGAGGTTAGTATGTTTGGTCAAAAGGCTCATAGCAATTGCCTAACAATGTCGTATTAGTATAAGATGGTTGAACAAACTTAGCTTACCTTCTAAGATAATTTCTTTGGTCACCGTCTAATTAATGGGCATGTATAGGCAGAAGAAAAGTCTAAATGTATAACAGATGAAAGGGATGCTATGTTACAACATGATATCAAATGATCTCATTTAGATTGAAAACCATTGGTCTTAATAATAATTGGTTTATTAATATTATCTTCAAAAAAAGTATAATATAAGATTTATTGAGGTTAACCTCAACTATGTGTTGGTCACACTTAAGAGCCTATCAATTACTTTTGAATCTTAAGGTTCATTTGGTAAAGGATATAGTAATTCTTATAATTTCAAATTGATTAAATCCCACTAACACAAATTTTTTTAAATTCCTTATTTAAGCGACTATTGAGAAAAAATATAAAAAATTTTGAGTTTGATAAATATAGGATTTAAATTTTTTTCTTCTCACAAAAAAAGTTAAATCCGACATAAATTTGTTACCAAACAACCTCTTAAAAAAGCATAACATGTAGCTGCATCTGAAAAAATAATTATTCAATGCAAAATTTGATGAATTTATTGTCATCATAATCATATTAGTCAATATTTTTGTAACTCTGATAAGTTTAGAGCATTCTCAGAAGTAGCATTAACATAATCAAAGACACTTGAAAGCTAGCTAACGAGTTTATTTCATTGCCTAGTTCATTTTATGCTTGGTGCACCAGAGAGCTCAACTCTTAAAAGAGATGAGATGACGAAGTTTGAAGGAATAGTCAATATGTGTGACAATTATTAAACCACAAGTAGCTCATGCCATTTTCACTAATATTAGGAAATCCATTATCAATGGAGGCATTTTTTATTTTCTCAGTGAGCCACAAAATTATCGTCATTTCGATCCTTACATGAGATTGAAGTTTAATACTTAGTATCATATGTTAACAACCTGGTCGCTAATTATTGTCTTCTGGAAAAGTATTTTGAATATCTTCTTATACTATTTGGAGACACCTAAAGGGATGAAAGTTTATAGAAAATCCATTGAGTAGAATGTTAGGGCCATTCAATTGACAAGGTGCTTACAAAGAAAGCAATTCATCAAGTTCTATCTGGGCTAACCATGAAGAAAGATATTGTTAAAGTTCCTGTAAGGTGGTTAACATTCCATGCAATTTCCTATCCTCCACCAACCACTTTAAGAGTTCCATTCAATCACCTACCCACAATATGTGGTGGAATTTATTGCTTATATACCAATCAAGGATTGTTAAAAGGGGTTATTATTTTCATTGGGTCAACTATTTTACATATTAGGTAGAAAATGAAGTTATTAGCAATGTTAATCATATATATTTTGATCAAATCCTTACGATATCTTAAATGATCGACTCTAAACCCATGAATAGGCCAAATCAACAAACAAAATCATCATTATCCAGATAATGAGAATGTTGGCTACCTTAAGCAACACTTGGTTGGAATAATTTTTATTCATTAAATTGACATACAAAACCATGCACTCTATCATTGATGATAGAGCCCTTATCACTATAGCTACATAAAAAAATTCAACCAATAGAATGAATAAAAATTCAACTAAATCTTCAATATTAATTTGATAGATCCAATGAATTCTATAAGATCCGTGTGGAAAACGAAGTCGGCGTGCAAGTTGAGTGCAACTTCTTAGAAGAACTTTAAATAGAGAGCTACATATAAGGTCAATCATAAAAAAGTTTGAACTATCTATTTCATAAACAAATATTTTAGTTAAGGGGTTTCCAATAGTAAAGTTGGTGTTCTTAGAGGAACTCAAAGAACAAGGAATGTGATGTAATCTTCATTAAATTTATCCAGGGAATATAATCTTATAAGCCAAAAAATATCCTTTAGAGCTTGAAATACTCACCCCTTGACCACATTTTGTCCACATTTTTTATGAAATATAACCCATTTATAAAAACATAGCACTATAAATGCCTTTAGTTCAATAAGAAAATGCAAATAAATTAATTTTGTTAAATTTTCAATATATCCTCCAAAGGGAACATTTGGTGGCTTTTTTAAGGTGTTTTTATTTTATTTTATTTTTTTGCCAAAAAGTAGTTAGAAATTTGCAAATCATTTCAACACTTTCCTTCAATCATATGCATTGCCCATCACACTAAATATTACAAGCATTAGACAAAAAAAATATATATATAAAATTTGTCACAAAAAAAGAACATCAAAATTTGATGAATATTTAGTCAAATAACTATTTATTCATGGCAAAGAAATTGAGAAAATTAAATTGCCTCAATTTTCTCATGAATTTAAACAAGAGGAAAACTCATCAAAATGTATAGCATATAAACTATGCAATGTTTTGTTATTTTCTTGTAGTATTTTTTCCCCTTATTAGCGAGGGCCTACCTTAAGTGCTATACTTTCCGACTAATAGTAATCTATATTAATGCGTGTGGATTTTAATATTCACCTCATATGAGTAACCCATCATAATTTATATCTTTTATATTATATTAATTCTTCTCAAGTTTTCAATGAAAGATCGGTGTACATAAAAAAATGTAACATAATCAAATTAGATCAAACACAGCATACTAACTGACCCGAAGCTAATTAATTTCAGTCGATCGAGTGTGAGAATAGCTGAATAATAGACTCGTGCATATAAAAGAAAAAATATGCACAACCTACTTTAAAATAATGACAAAGTAAAATCATATAAATAGAAAAATTATTTTATGAATAAATAGATAATTTTTGTTATTCATTTGTGCTCTCTCAGTAATTTAAATTATATATATTAAAATTTATTTATTTATATAATAATAACATGGGATTAGAATAGGCTCTCAGTCCCGGCGGCGGCTATGGAGCTCCTCCGCCCTCTCACACTCTCCACGCCCGAACCTTACCGTCACGCCACCCTCCTCCTACCGGAAGCCAGAACCGCCGTCTCCCTTATCAAAACCCGCCGCCTTTCTCCCTATTGTTTACCTCGCCTTACGACCCGAGCCTCCTATTCCTCTGCATCGCACTCGCTTCTCTCTCAGCCACCGAAACCCTCAGCGCCTTCAACCACCCAATGGATTGTGCTCATGGAGAACCCTCCGATCTCAGCTTCCTCGAAGTCGGAGGTTATTGACTACTATGTCGAGACCTTAGCGAGGGTTGTCGGCAGGCATGGATATCTACATTTGTTCAACACAGCCGGGGTTGTGATATTTTATTTATGTTTTTATGTTTTGTGTTAAATTGGCGTGCAGTGAGAGAGATGCTCAAATGTGCATCTACGACGCATCCTGGGAGTCCAGCTTTGGGTTCTGCTGTGACATTGATGAGGAGTCATCTCGTGAACTTGCCCGTGAGTTTGATGATAATTTATGCTTTACTTGACCATTTGGCATAACTCTGCTTTTGAAATTTTTAGATGTTTCCTTTCTTTTTGTAGATTATAAAGGTTTTTCTTGGATAAGCATGGCTAATGTAGTAATCTTCATGATGTACCAGAGATTGTGAATGGGAAATATTTGAACAAATGTAATTTTCTGTAAATCCTGGACATTTTGCATGGCTGAACGATTATTTAAAATATCGTAGCCAATTATTTTGTCAGCAGTCATTTAAATCTCTCAGAGCATCTAACTGTGGTTTTAACTTGCAATATATTATTACCTTAGAAGCATAATCATTTTCGTTTCCCAATTTTACTGCTTTAGTTTTTCATATTTTGTTTTATTGTACAAAGCATGCAAATTCGGCAATCTTTGCATATATTGCTTCTTCTTACCCTCATTTTGGGAGCTCCTTGAACAAATTCAATGTAACTTGATCTTGATCTATGAAACAAATTCATTCTTTGAAAGCCCGACCTGTTTACAGACTTTGTGTCTCCCTTAAACTCCTGAGATTTTCTCAAAATTTTCTCTCACATGTTCATCATTTTTGTTAGCTAGAACTACAATAAAAAAACTATAGTTTTTTTTGCACAGGTATTCCTGGAGTTTTATCTGTTAGACCTGACAATAGTCCAGAATCTGAGAGGAGAGATTATAGCCGTTTGAACCTTTTGCCAGTTGATCACTCAAAATCTGATTTCAATCCTCCAAAGTTTTCTCCTTCTAAAGATTATGAGTATTGGCTTGTTAGGATTGAGAAGCCTGGGGTTGAAACAGTCACAAAGGCGCAGATGGTCGACTATTATGCTCGGATACTAACCAAGGTTTTGAGGAAGTAAGAATTGAGATTTTTTAGACATGTTCTACATATTTTCTATCTGTTTCTTTATGTGTTTCTTTGTTCTGAGAGTTTTCTTATCTACTTATGTAGCGACAAAGATGCTGAAGCGAGTATATATCATATTTCATGGGAGACTGACCTTGGATTTTGTTGCCATATTGATGAGGAATGTGCAAAGGAATTGAGTGGTTAGTGTGTTTTTTGCATGTAACCTCTTATGTATTTAAATACATACCACTCAATTCTTATATATTTACACATCTAACACCTAAACTTAAAATTTTACTACATGCCAACTTACCTTGCATGAAAAAGTGTATTTCACTTTTTAAAAGTTAAAATGTCTGTATTTTTGATGTGATAAATGGTATAAATTGACAAAGTGTATATACATAGAAGTTGGGTGGTTTGTATTCAAATGCCCCAATTATATAATGAAAGTTAATTTGTGATGCAGATGTGCCGGGTGTATTGTCTGTAAGACCCGATCTCAGTTTCGGGTCAGAATACAAAAATTACAAAGGTTTGCTGAGCTACAACTGGACTTTTTCTTGATTAAGCTGTGATTAATTACAGGATTTGAGTATTATTCATGTTGGAAGGTGTAAATTGTTTGAGCAGGTCAACTTATTTAACAATTGTTTACTGCTTTCCCTTGATGGCCCTTAGGGTTTTGGAGCTTGATCACGTTAGCACCGATGTGCTCTTCTTCTAGATATTTTGATTAGTAAAGCTATATTAAGGGAGTGTTTGGTGTGGAAGTAGGTGAAATTGTTTATGCCATTTGTTAGCAGGTCAACTTATTTAACTATTGTTTATTGCTTTCCCTTGATGGCCCTTAGGGTTTTGGAGCTTGATCACGTTAGCACCAATGTGTTCATCTTCTAGATATTTTGATTAGTAAAGCAATATTAAGGGAGTGTTTGGTGTGGAAGTAGGTGAAATTGTCTATGCCATTTGTTATCTTTTATTATTTATGAAGAGAGGAGAATTAATATGAATTTTGTGTGTATTTCCTCTCATCTTGCAAATCTATTTATACAACATGTTCCTAGGTCACTTTTTGTAGCATCTATTATGAAGAATAATAATCTCAATTGAATTTATAACATTATTCTAGAATTTGCACATATTTATTTCTTTGGAAATCTCAGGAGATTTTAAACCCTTGCAGCGATCCACTGATTTCCACCTTATTCACAATGATGGACGGTCAGCTTTGCAACCCACATGTTGCTAAGCTGGTCTTTAGAACCTCTAGCACTCCTTAAGCTGCATCATAATGTCTAACTTGGTGGTTTATTATGAAATGTAGAGCTTGCTAGTCCTTTGATCAAGATATCAACCAATTATTTTTATGTTTGGACATATGTGATATATATCAATTCACTTCTACAATATTCTTTTATGAAGCGTCGATTGATTTTATGTATTTGATTCAGTCATAGTGGATTACATTGTGCACTATGCTGATTACTAATTTGTTGTTATTGTATGATTTCATTGTATTTTCTATTTTATTCCTAAGTCACACTATAGTTTTTTATGAGAGCGGAGGGGCACAATTGGAACCTTCAAGATTCCTTTGCGAGGTAGATGATGGGTAAGAAAGTAATACTGAGGCGAGAGGTTAGATATGGAAGGCTAGGAAAAAGGAGATCAACTAGTTCATAATTTCTGAATAAATTTTTGGGCTAGGTTTGTTGGCAGTGGATAACCAAGTTTTCATTAGTAGAAATGGGTGAGGACCTCTATATCGGAACCTTGGGATGTTAGCCAACTAATGGAGGAGGTTTTAGGCCAGTTAGTTTTGCGGGTAAGAAGTTATGAACTTTTCCTTTAGATTATTTACAACTTACAACATATGGAAAGAATGAATACATAAATGCTTGAATTTAAAATTAAAAGTATTAATATAGAGGGATATCTCAAAAATTAAAATCACATCATTTAAACATGGGCGTGTAATAGGCATTGGTCAATTACGTATCTTTGTTTTTGGAATTGCCTTGGGCTTTGATTTGTGATGTGTGCATGCTCTTTGTGGGCCTCTATGTTTTACTCCTTGCACTTCTTTAGCTTGAGCCTTTAATGTTGTTAGGGATCCTTGCAAATCACCGTGATGTTTAGCATAAAAAAAAATTCATGATTTTATCATGTGAAGTAGGCATTCATCCAACATTAGAATTGAAATCCAATACTCCAAAATGTTCAAATACTTGTCTTTTATCATTTTGCTCTAAAATGAGCTCATGTTCTGCATCAATTTTTATTCACAATAGTTCACAGATCCCTTGGGTTGTTATCCTAAATTCAGTTTCACTTCTAGAACTGACTAATGTTCATTGTTTCTTGCTTCTCGAAGTAATTAGATTCTTGCCCGGAAAAGTGCAGAAACTAATATTTGACCTTATATCTGTGAGAGATCCTACTCTATCAGCATATGCGTATACTTTTAAGCCGAGAATTTATTTCTTTTGAATATTATTTATTTTCCCATTATTGTTTCGTGTTATTTAAAATTTTTTCATGCTGCCAATAGATGCATTTATTTAATATTATGCATAAATTGACTCACAACACTTACATGATAAATTATGTCTGAAATTGTATGGGTGACACATAAGCTTCCCGGCCTATCCGGGCATTTAATTGTTTTCTAAATAAACATACTGATCAGTAATTTTTTTAAACTCCATTATTCAAGCAGTTGTCATACGGGCACTTATCATACTTTCCTTCTGCATGGTGCTGATTGGTTCTTTAGCTATATTAATGGTAATGTAATTTTATAAATCTACAGGGAGCAATGGACCACTGAAATCAAGTGGTACACAAGATCTTTCAGAAGCAAGCCCCCCAGATGTAAAAACTAAAAGACTATTTGTGACTGGTAAGTTGATTAATCTCATCAACTACCTGTCAATTTTATTCTATTTGTTTATAAAAAAAGGGTAATTTTCCTTTATGCTTTAATCAAATCATTTATTTAATTTTCCATTTGATTACTAAATGGCTAGTGCAACTATGCAACTTCAAATAGTACCTTAAAAGTTTAGCTTTAAAAGGTCCTGTCGATCGCCATATGGTTGGATGCGGTTTAATTTAGTGTAATATAGTATTTAAAAATTAGGTATTTTAATTTGAAGAAAATGAGGTCGTATTTTAATTTGAAGAATTAATTTGAAGAAAATGAGGTCAAACTGATCCCATTGATTCCTACAGTTTGAATAATCGAGCTAACCACGGGTAACGTACCACTCTGAAAGGTAATATATTACTTGATAATAAGCTCAATTAAATAAACTATAGAAATAAATGACTCGTTTGATCTGCAAGTTTGCATGATAACCGACATATTCCCCTATTCGATATAAGAGTCAAATAGGGTTTATTTTAAGTCTGGATTTTTTAAGTTCTCTATAAGGGCAAACCCCTGTAGTTAATTACATCTTAAGCGAACGAATCACTTAAGAAAACTCTCGATAAAAATCAGGAATCTTTTCTTTTCTTGAATTCAAAAGGAGTTTTCAACGAACATGATTGTGAAATTTTCAACAGGAATTGATTTTATAGGTGAAAGATTTTGTTTTAAGAATCAAATGAAAAAAAATAGGGGAAATTAAAGATCCAGAATAGGTTTTTGGTAATCCCTCAAACTATTCTAATGTTTGACTCAATTTATGATGATATTAATTTAAGTTAACTCTTGTCAGTTTTATTAATTAGGGCTTAGATTTGTCTTAGATTTTTTTATTAATTAGGGCTTAGATTTGTGTAATGATGATTTACATAAAAAACCTAGAAAGATAAGAGGTTTTATGTCGAATGACTACCTCAGAATCCTAAAACAAGTTAGGACATGCTGTATATCGGGACTATGCAGAGGCCTAACAAAAAGAGAGATTTTATGTTATAAAAGACAACATCGGAATCCTAAAGATTATTATTTAAACTAAAGGAAGGTCTTGAACGAGCTACCCACGAAGTCTTCTCCAAGTTCCTTGTTGAAGTGTCTTCAAGTCTTCAGGTACTTCGATCTTATTATTAAAAGTTTTATTTGTTTCGATAATTTTACATTGAATTAATTAAAGGGTAGTGGAGGTTTAGTTCAAACCTAGACAAAGACTAAGTTCACTTAAGCTAAGTAATTCCCTAGTGTTATGATTTATAAGTTCTCCTTAATCTAAACAACATTTATTCTTTTATAATTTGTTCTTAACACGTGCATTTTATGTTTTATAAAAACAGTAAAAGAACATGCATTGAGACACATAAAACAATAAATAGAGCAAATAATGAAACAATGTTTTATCAAATTTTTATTAAATTTTAATTATTTAATTAGTAGTAACCCAGTCAAGATGTCTATGACCCAGTCAAGATGTCTATGTCAAGATGTCTATGACTTCGTCGGCCCGGGTTGCCGAATGTCTTGGTTTACTTAGTCCGAGATGTGGCTGCCCACTAGGACCACAAGATTGTTGTCACATATCTCAAACTCGGGCTAGGCTAACCTAACATAACTCAAACATACTCTTCTATTTAGTAAATTATGATTATTAAAATGGTTTTATATATGATTTTTAGGTTTCTAAGATCTGTTTAAAATTAAGAACAAAATCAAGGGGATTTGGAAATTTCACATGTCTTATTTTTCTTAATTATTTAAAATGACCTATTTCACTTAAAAAAAGAAATATCCCTACAGAGGAATCAAAATGACTTGAAAAAATCAGAGAAAATTGTTCCCAAGCTAATTAATATCTCTGCCAAATTTCACATTTTTCCCATTTATATTTTAATTTTTATGATTTAAATACTTCAGAACTTCAAAACTTAATTTAAAAATATTTTCTTGATGAAAAATCGTGATTTTAGCTTTGAAAAATTATCCTCATTTTTCTGAATTATAACATCTTTCGGTTTATTTTTTTGAGTTTTCTACAAAAAATTATGTAATTTTGAAGTTTAGTTATAATTTATTGAATAAAATAAAAAGCAACTTACACCTTACACCTATCCAATGCATATCACATTTGATCGAATTCTGAGCTACTCATTGGGAGGCTCTATATCCAGCACTTGCTCCTCTGATAAATCGTCGTTGAGAGGGGACCCAGCTAGAAGTGAGTGTGCTGCCAGGAAGTCTGCTAGTATCTGCTCTTTGATATCAAAAAGGGGCACAAAGTTTTATCGAATTGCAACAATATCATCGACCATCTAGCTAATCTGTCTGATAGCGTTGGTCGAGTCATTAAGTATTGCAAATGTTTAACTCTTGAAATTAAACTGACCTTATGTGAAAGCATTTAATGTCTTAGCTTCTGAGTTGCAAAGATTAAAGCTAGACAATGCTTTTCAATTGGAAGATAGTTTACTTGTGCTGGTATTAGACGTCTTCTTAAATAATAAAGAGTATTTTCTTTTTCCATATCATTAACTTGTACTAGCAAGGCTCCGAGGGGGTCGTCTAATGCCGCGGTGTAAAGTATTAAAGGTCGACTTGGACTAGTGGTTGCTAAAACTAGATGCGTCATTAAATATTGTTTGATATTTTCAAATGCACGTTGACAAGTTTCGTCCCAAATGAATTTGACATCTTTCTTGATCATCGCAGAAAAAAGGTTTACACCTTCCCGACAGATTAGATATAAACCGTCTTAGATATGTCAACTTTCCTTGTAGGGATCATAGTTGTTTTAAAGTTTTTGGAGATTGCATTTCTAAGGTAGCTTTTATCTTATCTGGATGGATTTCGATTCTCCGGTGACGAACACAAATCCTAGAAATTTCTTGGAGGTAACGCCGAAGGCGCACTTTAAAGGATTTATCTTGAGATTATATTGTCATAACCGATTAAACACAATCCTCAAATCATACAAATGATTGTTCTTGTCTTCATTTTTAATAATCAGGTCATTCACATAACATTCTACTTGTTTATGGATGAGATCGTCAAATATTTTTTTCATCGCTCTCTGGTATGTTGTTCTTGTGTTCTTCAGACCAGAAAACATCGCTGTGTAGCAGAAGATTCCAATTGACGTTCTAAAAGTTGTTAACGAAGCATCATCGGGTGCCATCTTTATCTGATTGTACCCAGAGGAGCCATCCATGAAGGAGAAAATTTCATGAGATGAGGCGATGTCCATCATTAACTCTGGTATTGATAGGGGGAATTCATCTTTTAGACATGCCTCATTCAAATCTCTGAAATCAACGCAGATTCGAATTTGTCTATTCTTCTTCTTGACTGGAAAAACATTTGCTAATCATGTGGGGTACTGCTCTTCTCTCACAAAGTTAGCGTCTATTAACTTCTTAGCTTCTACAATAACATGCTGTTCAATTTTCGCCCTCATTCTATGAGGTGTTTGCTTCACATGGGGGATACTTGAATCAAACCTAAGTCTGTGGACTGCGATTTCTGGTGCTAAACTCAGCATCCCGTCATAGCTCCAAGCGAAACAATCTTTAAATTCTTGGAGAAATTTGATCAAGTCCTTAGACTCATTTTCATTAAGCAAGGAACTAATGAAGGTATGTCAAGGCTCTTCCTCTGTTCCCAAGTTAATTTCCCTTCATTCATCGATAGTAGACTTGATATCTTCCTCGAACTCAGGGGGAGCATCTTCTATCGGTGGCTTTTCATAATCTTCATCAACATCCATACATTGCTCCGTAGTAACAACCATGCAAAATATCGTATCATCAAATTGTCCTATCATTCTGAACCGAAGGCCGTTCTTTGAATTAAAATTACGGCCTTTGGCATCCCATAGCTTTTCTAAGAGTTTTAATTTACTTATCGGCATATGGCTCAACAATGAACCCTGCTGAATTAACTTCTTAACATAAGACAAAAATTAACCAAAAGATAATTCCATTAATTCATTAAAATTTTATTCAAAGAGTACATCAATATATGAAGAAGAAGTAGTAGCAGTAGCAAGGTAAAACTTGATTGGCTTCAGACCTTCAGTATGCACTTCCTTAACCCCTAAGCTCTCAACCTTATTGGATTTGATTGGAGTTAAGGCCATGGCATGTACATAGTTACTGATTCGATTGTACATCTTCTGGTATGCATCCTTTTCTTCCTCTTCAACATGGATTTTAAACTGAGGCTTCTTTTTATTAATAATTATCTTTTTATTTGAAACTCTTCATCATCCGAGCTGGTTTCCAAGTCGGCTTTAATGGTTGGATTGTCTAGTTCAAACAACATGTTGATTCTTATTTGTCTACGTCCCCGACCTTGATCTCGGATACGTAGAATAAAAGAATCATCCTTCTTTGTGGAGTAGGAGAAGTAACGAATTGTTGAATTAGAGTCAACTGAACCCTCACTCGTGTCTTCTTCTTCGCAGTGCTACTTTATCAACTGTAGCGTCTTTGGAAGAGACGGTCCTCCTTGGAGGTGCATAGTAGGCAGCATCTTCATGTATCCCCACTTTGTGAATTTGGAATGGTTGAAGATCTCCTTTAATACATTGTTCTCGTCCATCTTTATAATACTTGATACACTGATGTAAGGAAGACGACACCATATTATACTCATGAATTCAAGGACGTTCGAGTAAAGAATTGAACGAAGTTTCTTAATCGATGATATGAAATTTTGCAGTTGTTATCAAATCTCCGGCTTTCAACATCAAAGTAATAGATCCAAAAGCTCTTTCTCCTTTCTGATTGAATCCCCTTAACATCATTTTATTATTATCGAGCTTTTTTGCATCGATATCTAGATAAGCTAATATTCGGAGATTCATTATATTCAATGAAGCTCCTGGGTCTACTAAAACTCTAGAAAGAACAGCTTTCCCACTATTGACTGAAATGTAGAGCAATTTATTGTGGTCTGCTGTCCCAAGTAAAAGGTCTTCATCG